AACTTTAACGCAAGACAGGCATATGTAACAATGACTTAGTGCTCTTAAACTCGTGTGTCATTAAATACAGTTCTCCTGACAACAGGCCAGCGAAAAATCTAACAATCTATGGCAAAACCATCAATTATTATGGGCGTTATAGGTGTGCAGCTGGACGAAACATACACGTTGAACCCCCCAGACGATTTAAATACCTGACGAAACATACACGTCAAACCACGCTGAACGGATAATAACCTAGACTCTCATTGGCAGACATTTTTATATTCTCTCTAATAGTTTCCCAAGCTTTATTAACATCCACCTCATTGTCCAAGTTTTCCAAAGCCGCGAACCTATTTGAGATTTCAACACAGTACTGCTCTTTACCCTCTACCTCATTTAATTTCTTGACATTGAACCTCTCCATATGAACTGTGCGTGTTATTTGTTTGCTCACTGCCAGGCTTACCCTAACCTTTGCCACAACCGGGTAGTGGTCAGTATCACAATCTGCTGTCCTGAATGATCGGACATCAAGTATACTTCGAGTGCCGTCTCCTATCTATCAAAATATGATCTATTTGATTGTGTATCTTCCCATCAGGAGATGTCCAAGTAAATTAATGGATGTTACGATGTGGGAACATTGTAAGATTTTTTGATGTGGCAGAGTTTACTACTCTAACTCCATTATCATTACTAATTTCATGCAAACTCTCATTCTCAGTCGTTGGTTTGAAAATGTCTTCCATCCATACTTTGGCATTGAAATCTCCTAACAAAATTTTCATAGGGTACTTCGGGAATTTATCAAATACATGTTCTAGTTCATCATAGAATCTATCCTTTATGTCATCAATTTTATCTTCTGTTGGGGCATGAACATTCATAACAATGATATCACACAAGCGACCTTTTAGTATTATATATGATATCCTATCACAAATAACTCTACCCTCTTAACTGCTGATACTATTCTCTTATGTATGAAGAAACCTGTACCTAATTCATGATTATCATTCCCCTTTCCATAGAAAAATGTATAGTCTCCTGCTGGCACGATGCCACCTCCATCCCATTTGACTTTCTGTACTCCGCTAAATCTAACTTATATTTTAAGATCTCTTCCACCACTGCCCTGAGCGAACCTGTCCTATACAAACTTCGAACATTCCAAGTGCCAAATCTCATATCCATTTTCTTTAGCTTAGGTCGTTTATCCAAGGAATCTGTCCAGGTCCGAGGCTTTGTGCTCATTTTTGTAACATACTTATTTTTTTATGGTGAGGAGTTGTTAGCCTCACGACCAATGCCCAAGCTGGAGGGCCACCAATTTTCGGCTGTCTGCGACTGCTTATTCAATATATTCATGGCTTCCCTCCAAAACTGGAGGGCATCTCCTCCATCTGCAACTTGAGGACGTGCCATGTCGTGGTGACAAGGGACCCCACCTAACATGGGGGAATACATTCTTAGCCTTCAAAATTCACCATTTAACATTATAAAACTGATTAGCTCTTTCTAAGGGACCCAGTAGAGTAGGTGTTGCCCGTCACCTGAGGACAGAAACAGATCCAGTTTTCAAAACATTGTGTTTTATAGTATCTAGAATATGAGATGATGGACAAAGTTAAAAAACCCAATAATTCTGAGTATTATTCACCATCGTCAGAACCCTTTAGAATCTACCACTGCCTGTTTTGCTACAGAGAGCCTTTTTAAAATGCAAAGGCAGTTCCATCATTACGTCCATCTTGACACTCAGTTCAATAAATATCATACTTTGGAATGTATAAAACCTCATGAGGTTTCAGATGTGTCTGAGAAGAGGGTCACATCTATTTTTAAGCCTTACAACTGTTTTCTGACCACATAGGCCTGCCTCACTGCTGTTAGCTTTGAATGCTATGATTTTCATAGGTCTGTGAGCTGTTGTTGCCTTACCCTGCAACAAACTAAATACCACTTTAATTTTGACAGCAAACCTGTTCTTCTGTTGCAGCACCGTGTCATAATCTGCTGCAACATAGTGATGACAGCAAGCATGTCATCCGTTGCATTACTATTTATATTTTAGCCTGCACTGACTGACCCGAGCTTTGATTGGTGACCTGTTGCATATGGTGCTCTGAAGACTGTTGCTCTTGTCGTGATGGTTGATGTTGATGGAGGTGCTGAGAGCAGCTGCAAACGATCAGTCAGGACAACTCACAGCTGACTGTTGGCCCTCGTTACATAGCCTTGGCATGGACTGCATAGATGATATGTGTATTTGTTCATGCAGAAGTGTTCACCATGCAGTTGCCTAGCAACAGCCATCTCTTTTGTTCCGCTGTCCCATCTTTCGGTCATCATGTCACAGTATGGTTGCTACCTGCACTAGCTTTGCAGCCAATAGTAGACAGTATGGTGGATATACAATATAGTTGATGTAGGATTTGAGTTTCTCACAGTGGCCATCATGAAGAGTTCTGTCTTCTCGGAAATAATGCAATGTAATCTGTTTTCTGCATGCTTGGCTTGCTCTGCAGCCCTGAATATAAGGTGACATGATCCTCTGAAATGTTTGAATTTCAGCAGAATATACAGTGTTATGTCCCAAAAGGTAGAACTGTTAATATGGTTTATATCTTCACAACAAAGCATGCCACCAATAGCAGACAGTACAATGGGTATGTATGCAACGAGGGATACCGTTTGATAATACAGTCAATATGTGCACATCTAGGTGTGCCACCAGTAACAGAGAATATGATTAATATCTGCATAAAAGGGCATACTGACCAAGTACCCAAGAGCAGATTTGACTGAACTATAGTAATGCAGTGTTTGAAAAATATGTGTTTGTTACATTAGTTGTTTGAATTTTATTTTCAGAGGTGAAGGCAGGCGGGCTGGGAGAAGTGAAGATCGGGAAGGCAGAGATGGTAGAAGCACTAGAAATGGAAGAAGGTAATTATGTGGCTTCATTAATATGAAGTACAATATATTTGCAGGGTTAACAAATCTTGATATATTTCATGAGAAAATGAAAATATCAGTAGAAAATACAGAATGTGTATGTAACTTACGGTCTATACGTTGTGCGTTCAAGTTCTAAGGTCTCCGATTTTTTTCTCACACAATAATCATACAAAAAATTTGAAACTTCTGTCACTTTTCAACGTAATCTCCCTGCAGCCATACACATTTTTCACAACGTCGACGCCATGATTCCATGGCTGCTGCAAACGCTTCTATAGGAGTCTGTTTTGACCATTGGAAAATTGCTGATGCAGTAGTGGATTTAAAAATGGCATCCATGTCTCATCCATTGTCACAGTTGATGAAAAGAAAGTCCCATTCATGCCTTCATCACGTGTCAGCATCGCGTGGCAAATTGCCATGCGTGCAGCCTTGTGGTCATCCGCCAGAATTCGTGGCACCCACCTGGAGGACACTTTCCGCATTCGCAGGTCTTCATGCAGGATTTTGTGCACAGATCCCATGGAAATGCCAACTTTGGAAGCGATGTTTTCCACACTCAATCGGCAATCCTCCAAAACAACTTTCTCAACTCGCTCGACCATGTTGTCAGACCGGCTGGTGCGAGGCCGAGATTGTTTTGGTTCGTTGTCACACAATGTTCGGCCTTCTTTGAACTGTTGCGCCCACGAACGCACATTTTTCACATTCATGACACCATCACCACACGTCTCACTCAACTGGTGATGAATTTCAATGGGTGTCGCACCACGCAAGTGGAGAAACGAATGATTACTCGCTGTTCTTGTAACGAAAACGTGGCCATTTTAAGTATCAAAAACACTCCTTACTCTCGCCGCTACCACTAGAGTTCTGTGTGCCATAGAGTGCTGCCATCTCTGTCACGCATTCACAAAGAGTGCACACGTATTTTAAACTAAACCGCATGTGTCTATCTGCTCCCAGTCCTGAGAAAAAAAATCAGAGACCTTAGAACTTGAACGCCCCTCGTAGTGTATAATAATTTTAATCTTTTCTGAATAGTTTTTCCATGTTCAAAATGAGTAGAAAGTTTTGTTCTTCAGCGAAATATGTTCTTCTCAGGTGATACATGTCCTGTATGTTATGATTTCTCTCTCAGTTTGTAGCACTAATAAGTAGCAACTTGAACTAAATTTTTTCTGTTACACAGTGTAATATAAACACAAATTTAGAAAACAGCTGCAGCACTCAACTGAATCAGCTGTTGTTACCATCGGTGGGTCCCTTGACTCTTTAGTCTGTCAGGAAAATGGCTTGCATAACCTATACAGATGAAAATTCTAGGCATATGCATTTCCGTTTCATTTAATATGTTGGATATTTGGTTGGAGGATTAGATCATTAAAAGACCTGTCCTTACGCAAGAGGACACAGGACCGCTTAAAGAAATGTGTGGCCTGATTGGGATTGAGTCCGCATTACCAGAGTTAAGGTGATCCAGACCATTCATGCTTGAGAGGATGTGATAACCGTCATCAGATCCCGTTCTAAACTAGTGACATCTAACTTGTTGGACAAGTTGTATCTGCTTACTGTCCCTTAACATGTTTCTGCAGTCTTTGGAAGTAATTGTATCCTTGGAAATATCACTTGCCCTTTTGTAAGTGGGATTTGAAATGTACCTTTTAAAGTTTTACTTTGACAGGTCCCCTTCATATATTTTAATTTATTGTGTCCTAACACCAAGCCTGTTTCATGCTACAGCGAGAGACCAGACAGTGACCCCACATCTCTGCTTTACTGATATCTTTAGATTAAACTTATCACTGTTGCCATTGAAGTGCAGTTGCCAGTACATATAATATGCCTCTTAAATTAAGACAAAAGTGGTTAGTCACTTAATTAGAAATAGCCATTTTTCAATGCAATTTGTGTTTAAAGTGTGTTTATTACTTTTTGTTTAGTGTACTTGAAAGAAAGAGGAACCGATGGGGGAATGAAGAAGAGAATTCTACAAGTACAAGTCGTCCAATTAAGCAGGAGCCAAATATTGAAGGAGAAGGTCTGTATGAATGGGGAAAGAAACCTGATCCTTCAAAAAAGTTTCTTCCAGGAGAAAAGGATAAACCAAATTTTGGCTTGTCAGGAAAATTAGCAGAAGACACAAATACTGTCAATGGTGTTGTTATCAAGTACAGTCAGCCTCCAGAAGCTCGTAAACCTAAAAGGCGTTGGAGGTTCTACCCATTCAAAGGTGATAAAGGTCTTCCAACATTGTACATACACAGACAGAGTGCGTACCTTATAGGCAGAGACCGAAAGGTAGCAGATATTCCTGTAGATCATCCATCATGCTCAAAACAACATGCTGCTCTGCAGTACCGTCTGGTGCCATTCAAACGTGAGGATGGAACCATGGGTAAAAGAGTGAGGCCTTATGTCATTGACCTTGAGTCATCAAATGGAACATATGTGAATAATGTGAAAATTGAACCCAAGACATATGTAGAATTGCTAGAGAAAGATGTACTTAAGTTTGGTTACAGTTCTCGTGAGTATGTCCTACTGCATGAACAGAGCAAAGATGAACAGTTGGATGATGATGTTGCAGTGCAAGAGACTCCAGAACGTGTGTGCACAAACTAGTGGCAATTTTGTATGCAGAAGTGTGGTGCAAAATAAATTAACTGGAAACATAAAAGATTTTAAGTCGTTTGCTGGTTCTGTGATGGCAAGTGACTATAGGAAATGAGAGGTATTAACTGAATTAATATAATAGAATAAAATATTGATCGACTGTAGTGTAGTTGGCTGAGGCACTATGCTACAGGCTGGAAGGTTTTGCGGGTTTGATTCCTGATGAGTTCGTTGGATTTTTCACTTGCCCTAATCCTTTCAGCCACAGTACAGCCCAGGGGTTGACTCATCCTCTAACCACCTCTTCCTGATGGTAAACAGTGGCCGGCACATCATGTTGACAACCTCACAACCACATGAGCCATTTGTCTAGAAAATGTGGGAGCCTCGATGTGTCACAACCCAATGGGCCTCCATTGCCTGTTACAGGGACAGCTTTACCTTGGACTGTAAAACTTCTTTCAGAATATTTAAACTTGTATGTATATTCATGGTGTTGAGTTTAGTGTTCACTTTGAATAAAAATACAGACATATTTAACATTTTGCTGTGGAAGATATTTTTTTACTTGCAATCATGTTCTTATTTGATGTTGAAGATATTTTTTTTACACACACATGCATACATGTCATTTTCTAATGTATAATTTTTGCCAGGCATTCATTTGCATTGTATATTGAAGTTAATCCATTTTGACACACATTACAGTTGCCATCTTTAGTGTGAATGAGTTGGAAGGAGGATGTGGCCCAATGTATAGGTCTCACAATGGAAGAAAAGGTGAGGATGTGAAGTGTGGTTTTATCCAGTGGCAGTAGGCCATAACCCAATACGTAAGTCTCACAGCCCCATAGGGCATGTTACTACCTATTGGAAAGTATTGTAATCTGAGATGCATCCTGTTCTATTCTTCATTCTGAAGGTCTCTTGCTTCCATTGCTTCTGTACCATTGTGCCATCCTTATTTATTTCTGCCACACTTTTTCTTGAGCAGAGAAGTCAATTCCACATGTGTTAAGCCATCTTGTCAAAGACATCTATAAACAAACCTTTCTGTTTCATTTGACTCCTTTACAGTATGTCTCCTCTGTTTTTGTAATCTCCTGTTTATCCTTATTCCTTTGTTGCTAGAGTGTCAGTGTTAGAATTCCATGTAGTGTCCTCTTTTTTTTATTATTAATATTATTATTAGTGGGGTGAGACTGAGTCCACTTCGTACTGCAGCCACTACTGGCCTACTGTGTCAGCCCCAGATGATAGATGATGGTAATTGTGGAGCAGTTGGTGGACTGAAGATTGGCAGAGGAAACTGAAGTACTCAGAGAAAACCTGCCCGAGGGCCACTTTGTCCACCAAAAACCCATGACCTGACCCGGGCCACCGCAGTGGGAAGCCAGCAACTAAACTTCTGAACTATGGCATGGCTTTTTAGGGGCCTTAATCTACGTTCATCTTTTTCATTTAGGAGCCACACTTCTGATCCTTAAGTCAGAATAATCTCCAGTAGTTGTATAAATTGTCCTCTTGTATTTAACACATGGCATCTGAAAAATCAAGAACAGTGGGATTGTACGTGGTGCAATCCAAAAGTTCCCAAAATATATTAATAAAAACTATTACATCTTACCTAGATCTTATTCTGCACCATCACCTTCAAACTAGTCCCCTTGGGAGCGCATACACCAATCCCAGCGTTTCTGCCACTTTTCAAATGCATCCTGGAAGTCTTTCTTTGTTAGGGTGTTTAATACCGTCTGCGTTTCCGCTTGAATTTCCTCAACTGTATCACATCTTCTCCCCTTAAACTTGATTTTCATCTTGGGAAAGAGAAAGAAGTCGCATGGAGCTAAGTCTGGTGAGTACGGTGGGTGGGGAACAACTGCCATCTTGTTTTTAGCCCAAAATTCCTGCACAGTGTAAGCTGTATGCTGTCGTGCGTTGTCATGGTGGAGTACCCAGTTGTTCGTGCGCCACTTCTCTGGACGTTTTCTCCTCATGTTCTTCCTCAAACACCTTAGAACATCGCAATAGAACTCTTTATTGACTCTCTGACCAGGAGGGACAAACTCCTTATGAACAATCCCGTCAATATAAAAAAGAACAGATCAACATGGACTTAATGTTGCTCTTGACTTGTTGAGCTTTTTTTGGCTGAGCTGAAGAAGGGCTCTTCCATTGCGACGATTGCTGCTTACTTTAAGGGTTGTAGCCATAACCCAACTTTTGTCACCAGTGATAACTTTCGAAAGAAAGTGTGGACCCTCTTGAAGCTGTTGTTGAAGTTCCCTGCAGACTTCCAAGCGATGCTGCTTCTGTTCATTTTGCAGCAGTCGTGGCACAAACTTTGCCGCAATCCTCCTCATGTTCAGTTCCTCTGACAAGACTCTTAACTCTGACTCTTAACAAGATCTGTCATTTTTATATTGAGCAACAGTTGCAGTAGGTCCTAAATCTGATATTGTAAGTCATTGAATTACCGCTTATGTTTCATAACTTCGATGGTGCTTTTGGCAACCTTATGGTAATTCATAGCTTCTGATCGTGAAACTTATTTGTGTCTCTCCTGCCTCCTCACTTGCATCTCCCATGGCATGATTGTACAAACTGTGCCATGAACATCCCCAAATGTTAACATGGATTAAGGACCCTAATGTATGTAACATTCAGATTCATGATAATCCATAATTCTGTGACCCATGAAATGAAGAAAAAAGGTCACCTTTCATTCGGCCAGACATGGTACTCATTCATTTTGACGTGACACCAATGTGCAACATACAACCAGTTACCAGAAAATTCTCAGTCTGAGAATAAAGAATGATGTATGACTTGAGATTTAGGACTTTTTTTTTTTTTTTGGATTTGATCATGAAAATTTGAGACTTGCACATGCATACTGTATATATTATTAAAATATTAACCCTTTTTCTGTTGTGAGTGAAAGTGTTCTGTCTGATTATGTCTGCCTCCCCCACCTGGCGTATTTTAATCTGCTCAGTGGATTTTCGTTGAATTTAGTATGGACTTCCTATCACAAAATGTCAGCCCACATTTGGACTTCATAATTTCCTACCATGTGCAATACCAACATTGTAGCCATGTGAACTTTCAAGGTGGGAGCAGTATTAATGCCGCCTAATGCATGGGTTTGAAATAACTGATATCTGAGAAATAAGCAATTTGGTAAGCAATCTCTCCCTGCCTCAACCTTTTTCATGTAGATTGTGTTTCTACTTAGAATCATCATGCCCATGCTAAATTTTTATGTAGTGGCAACAATCACATAAACATTCCATATTTAACATATTTATATGTTTATTATATGCATGGCAGTGGTGCATAACTTTCAGGTTATATCTGAAAAGTTTGATAACTGTGGTAATTTCTTTATTTGAAAATTATGTACAGAATTGTGAATGTTACCACTATTAATATGTAATTTTTAGCTTCATAATGTAGACCGAAACATTTGAAGGAAAGTAGGTGTGATAAACTCTTTCCAGAACTTATATCTTTTGATAAAATCCATGACACAGTAAGGAATGTAAGAAAAATAAAAGTCTTTGATCAAAATGAGTTGTAAAGTTCAAAATTTTCTTGTGTGTTCAGGAATAAAATACTGAATTGATGTCTGAATTCTTACAGTTGAGTTAATTTTGGTTGACACAAACATTTTTATTCAGCAGTAACAGAGTTAAGCAGTTGTATATTTTTGGGCGCATTGTAACTCTTGTGAAAGATACTGTAGATGTTACAGGGTTATACTATGAACTGAAAGGTTTACGGTTTTATATGTAACAGGTTATTCATTTAAGGGACTGCAAGGAAATAAACATTGTATAGTAGGCCACAGAAGTGTGCAGGGTTTAAAAACTGTTTAGTGAAACAGTAGATTACCTGATTAATTCATAACCTGGGAATTGTAATATTTCATTTGGTGTATTAAAAACGAAGTTCATAAAAGTGGTAAAAATACTTGTTTGATTGAATTCAGGGAAATCAATATTCTTTTTAAAGTTGTTGATTCTTTAGGATTGGATATGAACTGACATTTACTAGTCAGTAGAGTGACAGGCTAGAGGCTGGGGGGAAAAAAATTTCTCTTCTCCACAGTGGCCAGACCAGCTGTGGGGTCCACCCGGCCTCCTATCTAATGGGTATTGGGCGCTCTTTCCCTGGAGGTGAAATGGCTGGGGTGCGAAGCTGACCGCTTACCTCCATCTAGTGCCAAGGTCAAGAATGGTGAAACTATACTTCCACTCCCCGTATGTCTTTATGGCATAGTGCTTAATTAATTAAGCACAGGAACAACTGTACCTCTTTTTCCTTTTATGAAGTGAAATTTGGGTTCCATGTCCCTTCTGTAATCGATATTATGAGCAGGAAACCACGGAAGAACATCAGCTTGGGATGTCTGAGAACAAAGAAGCATTTGTATTTTCCAAAGAGGATGTAACAGGAAAATTGAGAAAGTTACACAGCAAGGCACTGACGCCATACCTTTTTAGAGATCAAATCATGACATGTCACACACGAGGTGAGACAAGTGTTGTGTATAACATTTTGATTGGAAACTGCAGGGAAAAGGACCATTTGAGAACTATACACACAGAGAGGAGGATAATATTGAAATAAATCTTAGGGAAATGGGTTCCGAATGTGTTAATTAGATTGACTTGGTTCATGATGACAAATGATGATGGACATCTGTGAGCGTGGTGATGAATCGCCAGGTTCCACAAAATTGGGGAATTTTGTACTCATTGGATAAATGATGAAGAAATTCTCTGTTAGTAGAGTTGGTTTAATTTGTGTGACATTTCATCTGTGTGACAGCTGCAGATTTTCTTCGTTTTGACACTACGTGTAATTTTGTTGTCTTATGAAGAGGCACAGTAGACTCTTGATTAATGGCAGAACTTTCAGAACCCTTTCATTATTGATTATAGGTTCCTGTAATGATTTAAGCATTTCCCATTACGCCTGTTTCAGTTATAGATATCAGTGATGCTTTACACTTATTTGCAGCAGCTGACCTTTAAATACATTCATCCATGAATGATGCTGACATGTGCCTTTCCAGAGACAGTACAAGATAAGGCTGAAGAATGCTGTGGTTAGTTTGCAGATGATGTTTAGACTGTTCTGTCATCCCATCTTAACCTGTGTGTAAGTGAAGTATCATTGTGTTGGGAATTCAAAGAGGAATGGAGGAGGATACTGAACACACAACAAAAAATTGGAAAGAATGATTTGCATGCAGTAAATGATTAAACATAAATGAGGACGTAGCATATAAGAAACTCACAAACTACAAATATAATGAAGTTAAAAAGTATTGGAAAGTAATATTTCAAAACTAGANTGATATTACAAGGGAATAGAAACATAAAATTAGAAAATGTACTGAGAAAAGAAAACAGATACCAGAAATATAACTGGTGAAATAATGATGGTATCAGGTAAGGTAAATTTGTCCTTTTGTTTAACTAATGAAGCACTACACCATGAAGGTGTATGAAGGAGTGGATGTATAGACCCACTTGATCTCAGTACTACCTGGAGATGAGTGGTCAGCTTCATGCCCCTGCTGCTTTACTTCCGGGGAAAGAGACCTCAGTACCCATTGGATAGGAGGTTGGGGTGGACCCCAGAGCTGGTCTGGATGATTTGAAGAAGAGAAAATTCTTG